GTGTTGTATGTCCTCGGAAGTAGCTATATATCTGTATTTTGTCCTCGCAACATATAGCAATCCAAGTACACACACACACACACACACACACACACACGTACACACACTTGTATTTGAGGAACATAGTAACACTATTCAATATTTACCTCAACAGCTTTTATACTTCCCCTTAGTCCTCTTTCTATTTCATTAATTTCTAGTGGCCTGTTGATAGCAGTCGTCCTTGCTTCCTGTTACAAGAAAAAGAATTTGTTTTACTTTGAGAAAACAATTGCAATGTTTTACATACATTTGATGTATTATTACTGGTACAACAAGGCAGACTGAAAACGAGTCAGACTTATAGAACACTGATACAGATGTATGCAGACTGTCTAAGCCAGGTCAAGACAAAAGCTTGTGACTAGTAGTGCCCATCTATTGACAATCCCAGAAGCATCTACATTATTGCAAGTAATCTGCTTCTGTTGAATACTAGTTTGAAAAAATGTCTTTTTTGGTTAAAAATAATTTTCTTCTTTCTGAAAATTTAAATTTAGGAGGGGGAGGGGGGTCTGTTTTTTAAATATTTTTGTGCTACATAACAGTTCCAGACATGGAACCATCTTCCTATCACAATGGCAATATGACAAACCAGACCTGATTGAATACAAGCACCTGTAGACCTCAACCATGCTTCCCGAAAAGCAAAATTTGTTAGTGAGTGAATGAATGAATCTTGGCCAGTGGCTTTAAACGTTCAATGGCTGTGGCACACTCACTCAGGGCAACCCCAGGTAAGAATGTGATGCAATAACCAGTATACTGTAAAATATTTTATTTTAGCTGGAATTAATTTTCACAGAAAAGATTTTTTGTGTGTTTTGTGTGGAATTTATTTTCACTGATTTTTTACGAGTTGAATTTAAAAGAATTTATAGGAAACAAGGTATATTCGCTGGATTTTATTTTTGCTGAATCATTTCTTCAGCGAAAATTAATTCCAAGCAAAAATAAAGTATTTTACAGTACGCCACTGGTGATCGATGGAATGTTTTGTTTTGTTTTGTCTTCTGTATACTTATAAACAATAGCATAATAAACATACCCTGAGTTCCACTTCTTTACCCAGTAAGTCATACAAAGAGGCGCCTTTACTGGTTATCTCAGATGCTAACTGTCTTGTTGCTTTCAAATCAGATATCTGAAAGAAAAAATCACAGAATAACACACATTATTATACATCTGTCACCGTAACGCCATAAGTTACAGCGTGCCCTAATTTTGCGGTATTTTATAGGGGTATTTTCATCCTATCATATAAGAAAATGTGAATTCCAAATATGGAATGATTATGTGCGTAAGCATCCTATAATAATAAAAACAAATCTACCGTAAAAACTTGATTAATTCGTGGTAGTAAAAATAATTATTTTTTCAAGTGCACGAATTAATAGCGTCAAAACGGGAATTATTGGTTTTTGGTGCGCGAATTAAAAGAGTACTTTTAGATCGATTCAAAAAAGAGCTGTTTTCATAAATTTATTAGTGATTTCTTTTGTTTTCCAATGAACACGATTACAGGACGTTTTTTTAGTGCCTCTGAGACTCGTGGCTAGCGGCATTCATGGCGTATAGTTGGGCAGAGAACAGGCACCACGTTACACTTGAAATGAAACACAAACAAACAATGAACACGTGGCTACAAAGTAGCCGTCTGGCTGCACTGCCTTTTTTTTATTTTTCTAGGCATTGCCCGGGCGATGTTATGGCAGATATTACGAAGCCCATCTTGTCTGGAAAAATAACCCTGCGTTGATAAAAATAGTCTCAGAAAATGTTTAGAAAAAATAATGTTTCGCGTTGACCAAATATAATCATACAAAGTATAAATTCAAAGTGTTTTATTTAATAAATTGGTGAGAGGTCGCATTTTACGTGAACAAGAACATGCACTAAGAAGGAAAAGCAAGCCAAAGTCGACACAGGGTGCATCATGGACATGACACACACACGCTGCGACACTGATTGATCAGTGACATCATTTTGGGACCAATTGACTTCAGTACTTCTTTGCGAAACTTGCTGGCGGCGA